GGGGGGGGGGGTAAAGGTTACAAAAAACGCCACGTTTCCATGTTTTTTCTTTACTCTTTCCATTGGAAATTGAGGAACTTTCAAACAAAAAGGGAGCAAACTGCCATCTATTAGGTTTTTTTTTTTTATTAATGGGGTGTCCAGACACCCAAATTCACCCTCTAAATAACACAGAACACACTAATTAAAACTAATTTATCTTAATTAATCCTCTTTATCTTCCAGTTTTACATCACAGCCGTTAAACAGTTAAACAGTGTTGGTTTTTGTCATCAGGCCCAGTTTAAAGTTAAACTGACAGTAAAAATAAGTGTTTTATGTGATGTTTAGCACCATTTTTTCACTTTTCTCTAGGTGTTTTTTCTTTACTTACCAAGATTTGGAGAATAAGTAGCCATCATTTGGATCCTTTCTACCTTTCCTTTGAGAAAAATGAATGAAAAATTGATGCTGATATGATCCAAATGTTGGCTAATAAGCCAAAATGTAGTCATTGTTGAGCATGTAAGACTCTATATTGGGTAATTAAATTTAAAAAACGTATTTAGAATAGTTTATAATGAATGCAACTTAAATTTTTTAAAATAAAACTCATTCATTGACCTTCCCGAAGGCCTCCTGCATTCCCCAGCCGAGGCTTCATTAGAGGCCTGCTGATGAATTCCTGGACGGAGTTCTGAACTGTCCAGCCTGAATTATCTCTTCCATTCCCTCCTGAAACCGCCTGGTGGTGAGTTAAATAAGCTCTGCCGGGCTTCAGTAACCTTTTCCACCACTTGAGGACACAGTGAGACTCCACTAAGGCTCAGGGACAGGTTAAGAGACCAGAGGGGGGGGGGGGGGGTACTCACTGGAACTCACTGTACAAACAGGAACGCTGCAGAACACTAAAGGCAGCAAATAAATGAGCGTTCAGTCGGAGGATTCTGTTTCGGTGGCCAAGAGGTTCCACATAGAAAGAGGAAGAAGTCAGCTCCTCTTTTCTCTCAAAAGACTTTAACCTTTTGGATGAGAAGTCATCTTTGTATAGTTTCTCCTCCCAGCCACATAATTCTACCACAAAAAGCTTTTAGCCGAGTTAAAACCTCAGAAGTTTAGCAGAAAAACGTCTTTTCAATGTGGTTTTTACGCTTTTTCCGGCCCATTTAGCCATTTTAAAACACAAAAAGTGCATGGGTGTGCTCCTAAAAGATACAAAGCTGCTCTCTTATCCTGCACAGATCAGCCGGGGACCCAGAGGTGGAGACTGTCTGTCCCCTCGGGGCGGAATATGCGGCTGAGAGCTTCCCAGAAACCGCTGATAATATCAGCCAATCATTCTTTACTACGCCAACCAGCATGTCGCCGTTTCGCCCGCAGATTTAGATTAATAGCAGACATAAAAACAAATGCAAGTTGCAGGAAAAGAGACAAATAAAGAGGTCAGAGCCCAGAGAGAAAGCGGTTTGCGTAAAAAACGAAGCGCAAAACTTCCCCCAAAAACTCTGCGCAAGATGTGACAGCAGCGCGCACTGGCGCAGTGGGTCAATGAGATGCGGCACGCGCACGACGCGCACGCGGAGCGGCCGCAGTTTCCTCGTTTGTGTCAGCCGAATCAACACAAATGCGCGTTTTACGCACACGGAAAAAAAACAGCCAAAACGTCTAAAAACAGCCAAAATGTTGCATGCACTGCGTCTTTTCTCCATCAAACACAGTTTTTAAAAAGTTTTAAGTATTCCCTCTTACCATGAATTGGAGTTTGACGTCTCGAGGGAAAGTTTTGAGGTGAAAAAGGTGCGCGTAACGGAGCAGTGGACGGACTGTGCGCAGGTGGAGGGTTTGGGAGAGGCAGTGCCCGCGGAAGGGTCGCGCGGCCAGTTATCTGGGGCTTGTTTGTTATGGACTCAGAGAACAAGTGGGACGTCCCACTAAGGGGAGGCGGTCACGTGGTTCCCATCAAAACACTCCGAAGAGAACAACAAGTTCTTGAGGTTCCCAGTAGGTCATCCTCCAAAAAATACGCACCGAAAGCGCGCAATATCTCCCCAAAAACGCGCAAAGTTTGGACAAGTTTTAAGTTTGTTGGTTCTAATTCTGGTTAAGTTTGTTGGTTTAATTCCAAAAATGTTGCGTAAACATGCGTAAAAAGTGGTTAAAAGCTTTCTTACCGTTTTTGTATAACGCAGAAATCCGCAGGTTTTTAGGAATCCGCTCCAGAGCTGCTTCTGCCTCACTCTGCCTCACTGCTCCCTCTGGGCGGCCAGAAGTAGGTCAAATATCTTGGCAGTGGCCGCCATTTCCCCTTTTCCCCTCGAATGTGACACACATTCTGGTGAGGTGGAGCTCCGGCGTCACGTTTTGTCCTGGCAGGCTGCCCGCGGCCCCCGGTCACGTTGAGCTGCAACGTGACCGTCTCTCTGCTGCCTCCGGGGGCCAAAAGCAGCCAGAGGCCGGGGAAAAGGAGCCTACGTGTCGGGCTTATGCAAAAGAACCACCAGATATAAGTAAAAAAACGAGAATTTAGCGCAGAAACCCGGATCTAAACACACCAACTGGACTTTGATATGTTCATTTATGCCGTTGTACACTTTTTGTGGCCAATTCTTTTGGTATTTTACTAGAATTAGAAATCAAATGTTGACCCATAAACAAATCTAGCTCATCATATTTGAGAAAATTTGTCTTTTTTTTACATTAAACTGATCATTTTTATTTTTTTTAACTTTTCTTTTACTGTGGGGACAAAACAATCAACTGAAGATAAGAGATTTTCTTTAGGTTTTTAAGCTTCCAGTCTGTTTAATGAGGGAGTTCTGGGCAGCCAAACAGGTGTTTTTCCATGTTTCACAAACATTTCCATAAAAACTAAACTCTTAGAGCTCAGAATTTTGCAGACAGGCCCCATTTTCCTCCCAAAAGCAGAGAGGTTTTTCTAGGTTAACAACATCAAACCTGAGAGCAGCAGACTGGCCACAAAAGAGAAGAAATCTATTATAAATATGGACTTTTTCTCAACTGGATGATCCATTTTTGGGCGATAAAGCCAAATAGAAGAGACTTTAGCTCAATTATTTGGTCGTCGGCACACCTCTATTCCACATTAAAGATTGACGGTAAAACTTGGGGAAAAATCAAATATAGCCTTTCAGATTCTGTGCCTCTTCCTCCAGTAATAGAAGAGCAGGTAGGGAACAAACTGGCATTTGGTTCAGATGAAATCAAGCCCAAAAAACAGGAAAAGAGGAAATTAACTTTAAAACTAGTGAAGATGCTGGTGCCCCCCCCAAAAAACACACCTTTGCTCTGTATGTGTTTCTGTTCTACCTCCACACCGTCTTTAGCAAAGTCAAAACTCCCGTTTATGTCATTAAGATGCAACAAATAAAACAGAAAATTCTCCTAATGCTTCCCAGCCTCTGTGCCAGGTCACTGGACCCAAAAAAAAAAAAAGTAGGTCATTTAAGAACTTATGTAACATGTTAAAGTAGAATCAGGAGGAAAACAGGACGGTTTGCTCGTTTAAGTGACCTGTATTGGTGTATTTGGCTGAATGATGCATTCACTGGCACTCGGCAGCCCCCTGTTCCAGAAGACAGATCTAAAAAAAACAATGTGCTCACAGCTAAAACTTTTCTAGGTCAAACGAGACTGGAAAAAACATCCTGCTGTTCCGGTTGTGGCCAGCAGGCGGCGGTGTGGCGTCTTAGTTAAGTCTTCCGGTTCAAATCATCTTAAAAAAGTTGGTAAATCTAATAGAAAAACATTTAACCACACGGAGAAGTCAAACCCTTTGAGTTGTTGAGTTGTTTTTTAAGGGGAGACCGAACAGTTGTGGGTTTTTTAAAAGGAAAACACAGATTATTAAAGCGACTTCAAATCCTAATCTGAATATGGACTTTCCCATCTGGCTGTCAAAGGTCTTTGTGTGACGTCCATGGAGAGATGTTAATTATTTGGTGTGTTATCATTAAGATTTTTCATGTACATGATAAAGATTGTGATGTTTTCAGTCTAAATTCTGATTAGTTGGGATGAAAAAAGTCTTTGGTTTGTCACCACTTACAGGAAGGAATACAATTAAAACGCAAAATCTAAAAAAATGTTTCAATTTTTCTTGGTTTTAAAGGGTAAAATCGTACATTTTCACCCTTAAATAGCAGTGAAAATGCAAAACTGAATGTCCAGAAATCTCCAGGTTTTCTCCTTTTTCTCCATCTTTAAAAACAAAAGCAGCTGGATTGTGATTATTTGAAGCTGTACAAACTCACATTTATTCAAAGTCAGATATGACAAACACCAATAAATAAAAATCAATTAAAAACTCACCACAGAAAGAATTACTGAGATTTCAGTTCACATTCATTTTACATTTGTGTGGCTCAACAACAAAAAACAACGTTAAAAGCAAATTAAAGGACTAAATCTGAGAGTTGGAACCACTCACATGTGACGGCACCTCCAGGACATTATCAGCTTTATTTTTACCTGTTTTGGCCTTCAAGTCCACAAAGATTTAACCGAAAACCTAAACAAACACAAAGTTCTGCAAAAAAAAGAGGCACGATTTAGTTTACAGTCATTAATCGGACGAGAAATAAGACACAAACCTGTAAGTGTTCAAGTGAAAAGCAGAAAAAAGGAATGCTGAAAGAACAAAGGGACGCATAGCCAAAAGTCACAGTTTTAGTTTCTGACCCGGATTTTTGTACAAAAAAAGAAAAGACAAAAAAGAAAAGAGTGCAATTCTTCTCATTTGAACCGAAAAGACTTAAATGTCTCTGAAGCTCCCAAAGCTGAGCCGGGAGGAGAATCTCCGTCCGACTGGGCGCTAAAATATTTACAGACACCCGGATGAAAGGATGAGAGCCAGATGTGGTACCTCCACATCTGG